AACCAGGAGACAGACAGACAGACACAAGAGAGAAAGATAAAAAGATAGAGAGACTATCAGACACAGGATAGAAATACAGAGAGACAGGCAGGCAAACGGACGGACGGACAGACAGACAGACAAACGGGTGTGACAGGTGTAGGGGCCACAAACAGGTAGAGTCAGGTGAACCAAGACCAGGGTGACGACGAGACGACCAGAAGAAAAGACGATCCATTATAGCTGACGATACAACAACAACAACAACCGCATCCTCGCTGCCTTGCTAAATAGTAAACAACAACACCACCACCACCACCACTACTACTACCATTACCACTACCACTACTACTACTACCATCACCACAACCACTACGACCAATGCTACCATCACCACATCTACTACTATCAGTCTATCAATATCTTCACTACTACAACTACCAACATCACAACTACCACCATCAGCACCACTACCACCATCACCTGACCTATCAATCACCTGCGGCATTGTCCTGGGTGATACATGTGTCGTATAGGAACAATAACGTCGTAGTTTATATATTAGTATGTATTAATCTTAAAGGCTTATACATATTGTTTATGTATATTATAATGACCAAAATATACATACAGGTTCGTAGAGACTAGTGATGTATATTTGTATGAGGGTAAGATAACGGTATATAAACACAGTGTTGTAAAAGGTGTGTGTGTGTGTGTGTGTGTGTGTGTGTGTGTGTGTGTGTGTGTGTGTGGTCTTTCAATCATTTTTCTATAATTTTTTAAATATTTCGTCATTACTAGCCAAATACACCTCACTAGCCACGCGCACACCTCACTAGCCACGCACACACCTAATTAGCCATTCACACACCTCACTAGCCACCACTAGCCACGCACACACCTCACTAGCCATTCATTAGCCACGCACACACCTCACTAGCCACTACTCAGCCACGCACACACCTCACTAGCCATTCATTAGCCACGCACACACCTCACTAGCCACCACTAGCCACGCACACACCCTCACTAGCCACTCACACACCCTCACTAGCCACGCGCACACCCCACTAGCCACGCACACACCTAACTAGCCATTCACACACCTCCACTAGCCACACACCTAGCCACGCACACACCTCACTAGCCACCCATTAGCCATGCATACACCCCACTAGCCACTCACAAGCCACGCACACACCTCACTAGCCCCTCATTAGCCACGCACACACCTCACTAGCCATGCACACACTCCACTAGCCACCACTCAGGCCACGCACACACCTCACCTAGCCACGCACACACCTCACTAGCCACGCACACATCTCACTAGCCACGTACACACTCTCACTCAGCCACGCACACACTCCACTCAGCCACGCACACACCTCACTAGCCACCATTAGCCATGCACACACCTCACAGCCACGCACACACCTCACTAGCCACGCACACACTTCACTAGCCACGCACACACCTCACTAGCCACTCTTTAGCCATGCACACACCTCACTATCCACGCACACACCTCACTAGCCACTCACTAGCAGCGCACACACACCTCACTAGCCACGCACACACTCACTAGCCACGCACACACTTCACTAGTCACGCACACACTTCACTAGCCACCACTAGCCACGCACACACACCTCACTAGCCATGCACACACTTCACTAGCCACACACACACTCCACTAGCCACGCACAACCTCACTAGTCACTCGAACAGCCTCTTACTTCTGGAATTCTCACCCTGGGCAAGAAGGGTCACTTAAATCGTATACGTTGAAGCTGTGGCAATAATGGTCTATAAGCTGGCCATCAACATGCTTACTCCTGCTGCTGACGCATCTTCCACTGGTCGAATACTCCATAGCCTCACAATTCTTACTCCATAGGCTCAAAATTCTTACTCCATAGGCTCACAATTCTTACTCCATAGGCTCACAATTTTACCCATAGGCTCACAATTCATACTCCATAGGCTCGTACCTCTACTCCAAAGGCTCACAATCCTCTACTCATAGGCTCAAAATTCTTACCCAGGCTCAAAATTTTACCCATAGGCTCACAATTTTACCCATAGGCTCACAATTCTTACTCCATAGGATCACAATTTACTCCATAGGCTCACACTTACTCCATAGGCTCACAATTCTTACCCATAGGCTCAAAATTTACCCATAGGCTCACAATTTTACTCCATAGGCTCACAACCTACTCCATAGGCTCACACCCTACTCCATAGGCTCAAAATTTACTCCAAAGGCTCACAATTTACTCCAAAGGCTCACAATTCTTACTCCATAGGCTCAAAATTCTTACTCCATAGGCTCACAATTCTTACTCCATAGGCTCACAATTCTTACTCCATAGGATCACAATTCTTACTCCATAGGCTCACAATTCTTACTCCATAGGTTCACAATTTACCCATAGGCTCAAAATTCTTACTCCATAGGCTCAAAATTCTTACTTTATAGGCTCACAATTCTTACTCCATAGGCTCACAATTCTTACTCCATAGGCTCAAAATTCTTACTCCATAGGCTCACAATTCTTACTCCATAGGCTCACAATTTACCCATAGGCTCACAATTTACTCCAGTTGGGTTGGGTTGGGTTTCGGGAGAAGGCGAAAGGAGGAGGTGGGACAAGGAGGTGACATTAATTGCTGTAGTTAAGCTTTTTTTCTACAAACACCTCTCTCTCTCTCTCTCTCTCTCTCTCTCTCTCTCTCTCACACACACACACACACACACACACACACACATTGCTCCATCGTAAACAATTTTTTATCCATCTCTCACGTCCTGTTGTTCATTCCAGCCAATACCCGATACCTGAGTCGTTCGATGTGCTTCCTTCCTCTACCTGAAGAATCTCCCCCATACCTGACCCACCTCTCTTACCTACCTCAACATGGCCCTCCTCACTCCATATGACCCCGCTCTTTCCATGGCCCTCCCTACCTCTGTAGCATCTACTTCAACATGGCCTCCCTTCCTACCTCAAGGCCCTCACACCCTATCGTTCCATTCTTTCCATGGCCTCCCTTACTTGTATCCCATCTTCCTAAAACATGTCCCTCCTATTTGTTCCCTCTATGGCCCCTCCCTACCGCCATGGCCCTCCTCCCTCCCTATGTCTATTGTCTCTTAAAATGACCTTCCACCGCTAACCCCCACCCCGAGGCTCACCACAACATCGGAGGCGAATGTGCCACAAGGCTTCAGCAATCCTGAACCACTACCCATAGCTGTGTGTGTGTGTGTGTGTGTGTGTGTGTGTGTGTGTGTGTGTGTGTGTGTGTGAAAATCGTGACATGGACTGTACTATACTGTCTGTCTGTCGTGGTGATTGACAATAAAGCTATACGGTTAGGTGAAACGTTTAATATTCTTGGTTGAGACAGACTGTGAAGGGCCCGGCACTCAATTACTGCCTGGCCTAGCACCGTAGACTGACGGGTTACGTGTTGATACGGCAAGCAATAAAACCCATCCTCCTCCCCACCATCACCCCAACCCAACACCCCCTGCTGAGAGTGACGTACCTCCACTCCCGCCACCACCTCCACCATGAAGTCTAAAACAAGATATAAAGTCCGCCATCAAGTCCAAGAGACGACATCAGGTCCAACCCCATCATACACTGTAGCATCACACTAACAATCACTGCCTCATATTACAGAGACACCAACACGCCATTGCAATACTACGACACATAAAAGACCTCCTGTCCCTCTCCCCTTCCTTCCCCCCCTAACTCCTCTGCTCCTCCACCCTCCTCCTTTCCCCTCACTCTCCCCCTCATCACTTATTCCCTGCACCCCCACCTCCTCAACACTGAACCCCTCCCTCCCTCCCCTCCCCCGCCTCAACAGCTTTTTGCCTTTCTATATATACTGTATACTCGTATATACTGTACAATCAGGAGCTTCTGCAATGTACAGTATAACCTCTACAGCCTCCACGTCTCCAGAACACACACACACACACACACACACACACACACACACACACACACACACACACACACACACACACACACACACACACACACACACACAAGTAGTGAATCTCTCCGTTAGGTTGACCTCAAAAGAGCGTGAACTCTTTCTCTCGTGTCCACCACCAATACCACCATCAGCACTACCACCATCACCACAGTCCAGCCCTCCCTACCGTTCTAGTCTCTCATATAATTCACCAATTTAATGGGATTTAAGTATTGAGAACAAGCCGCCGTCTGTCAGTGAGTGAGTGAGCGCATCAGGAAACACAAGGTAGCTGACCGTTTCCAGTACACCCCAGGGACCAGACCAGAGACCTTTTCCAACACCTTTCTAAAACATGTACTGACCACTACTAACACTACTACCAACACTCCTAATGGTAGATATACAGTAGTGATTCCTCGACACCCTTTAAATATATATAATAATATAATGCTCGGGTACAATCAATCATCTTGGAGTTATAAATAATAAAGAGTTTTCCATCATCGTGAATAAAGTAATGTTGACATGCTGACGTCACGATGGTCCTGGTGACGTCACGTTGGCCCTGGTGACGTCATGAGCCCCTGTTAACGTCATGAGGCTCTGGTGACGTCAAGAGCACAAAATAACGTATAATGGAGCGGTATATCGCTGCTGGAGGCCGACTCTTGTGACATGACCCGCCTGTGAAATATTGCAAGAGGTCGACCGTCCTAACATGCAAATTTGTGTGGGGGAGGAGAATGGGAGAATGATAGAAATGGGGAAGGAGGAGAGGGAAGGGAGAAAGGGGATGAAGGGGTGAGGAAGGGAGGCGATGGGGAAGGGAAATGTCGAATGGGGAAGGGATGGAAAGGAAGGAGGGGAAAGGGGCGGTTGAAAACGTGCCTCTGAGAAAACTCGTGTGGGTACAGGGGGAGGAAGGTATGAGGTAAAAGGAAGGGAAGGAGTGAGGTAAAAGGAAGGAAGGTGAGAGATACACAGTACAAGGAAGGCAACACAACAGTACTCACACATGGACGCCAGGCGGAGGGTCCCACACACACTGGCCGGTGGTCAGGTTGGCGTACATGATGTTCCTGGAGCTGGGCTCGATGATCTCCACCCACTCCAGCCTGTAATGTACCATGGTATTAGTATCATCATCATCATCATCATCATACCGTCATCAATCATTATCATCATCGTTATTATTATTATTATTATATTCGTAGTATGTCATTTCTTCCCCTCTGGATAAAAGTGTTTACATAAGTTGCATCACTGGTAAGCCACTGGACACACTACCAAGCCCTTCTCCACCTGTGCTATTCCCCGAGGACCACTACAACCCTCCACCTGTGCTATTCTCCTGAGGACCACTACAACCCTTTCTCCACCTGTGCTATCCCCCATGAGGACCACCTACAACCCTTCTCCACCTGTAGTATCCCCCATGAGGACCACTACAACCCGTCTCCACCTGTGCTATCCCCCGAGGACCACTACAACCCTTCTCCACCTGTGCTATCCCCCATGAGGACCACTACAACCCTCCACCTGTGCTATCCCCGAGGACCACTACAACCCTTCTCCACTCCAGTATCCCCGAGGACCACTACAACCCTTTCTCCACCTGTGCTATCCCCCCGAGGACCACTACAACCCTTTCTCCACTGTGCTATCCCCCGAGGACCACTACAACCCTTCTCCACCGTGTCCCCCCCCGAGACCACTCACAACCCTTCTCCACCTGTGCTATCCCCCATGAGACCACTACAACCCTTCTCCACCTGTTCTATCCCCCGAGACTACAACCCTTCTCCACCTGTGCTATCCCCCATGAGACCACTCACAACCCTTCTCCACCTGTGCTATCCCCCCATGAGACCACTTCACACAACCCTTCTCCACCTGTGCTATCCCCCATGAGGACCACTACAACCCTTCTCCACCTGTGCTATCCCCCCCGAGGACCACTACAACCCTTCTCCACCTGTGCTATCCCCCCATGAGGACCACTACAACCCCTTCTCCACCTGTGTCCCCCGAGGACCACTACAACCCTTCTCCACCTGTGCTATCCCCCCGAGGACCACTCACAACCCTTCTCCACCTGTGCTATCCCCTGAGGACCACTACAACCCTTCTCCATCTGGCTATCCCCATGAGGACCACTCACAGCCTTTCTCCACCTGTTCTATCCCCATGAGGACCACTACAACCCTTTCTCCACCTGTCCTATCCCCATGAGACCACTACAGCCCTCCACCTGTCCTATCCCCCATGAGGACCACCACAGCCCTTCTCTCCACCTGTGCTATCCCCATGAGGACCACTCACAGCCCTTCTCCACCTGTGCTATCCCCCCATGAGACCACTACAACCCTTCTCCACCTGTGCTATCCCCCGAGGACCACTACAACCCTTCTCCACCTGTGCTATCCCCCGAGGACCACTACAACCCTTCTCCACCTGTGCTATCCCCCGAGGACCACTACAACCCTTCTCCACCTGTGCTATCCCCCGAGGACCACTACAACCCTTTCTCCACCTGTGCTATCCCCCCGAGGACCACTACAACCCTTCTCCACCTGTGCTATCCCCCATGAGGACCACACTACAACCCTTCTCCACCTGTTCTATCCCCCCGAGGACCACTACAACCCTTCTCCACCTGTAGTATCCCCCATGAGGACCACTACAACCCTTCTCCACCTGTGCTATCCCCATGAGGACCACTACAACCCTTTCTCCACCTGTGCTATCCCCCATGAGGACCACTACAACCCTCCACCTGTGCTATCCCCTAGGACCACTACAACCCTTCTCTCCACCTGTGCTATCCCCCATGAGGACCACTACAACCCTTCTCCACCTGTGCTATCCCCCGAGGACCACTAACCCTCCACCTGTGCTATCCCCCGAGGACCACTACAACCCTCTCCACCTGTGCTATCCCCCGAGGACCACTACAACCCTTCTCCTCCACCTGTGCTATCCCCCATGAGGACCACTACAGCCTTTCTCCACCTGTTCTCAACCCCCATGAGGACCACTACAACCCTTCTCCACTCTGTCCTATCCCCATGAGGACCACCACAGCCCTCCACCTGTCCTATCCCCATGAGGACCACTACAGCCCTTTCTCCACCTGTGCTATCCCCCATGAGGACCACTACAGCCCTTCTCCACCTGTCCTATCCCCCATGAGACCACTACCATGACAGATATACATCCGTCGCTTGTACCCCTCAAGTTCATAAATAACTTACTGTGAGGCTTACACGTACTACCCACACCACCACCACCACTACCTCCAACAACACCCACTACTACCAACACTACACCACTACCTCCAACAACTCCACACCACCACCACCACCACCTCCAACAACACCCACTACTACCACCACTACACCACTACCTTCCAACAACACCCACCACTACTCCAACAACACCCACTACCACCACCAGTACCTCCAACAAAACCACTACCACCACCAGTACCTCCAACAACACCCACTACCACCACCACTATCTCCACAACACCCACTACCACCACCACTACACCATCACCCAACAACACCCACTACCACCACCACTACACCATCCACCACCACTCCACACCACTACCTCCAACAACACCCACTACCACCACCACTACACCACTACCTCCAACAACACCCACTACCACCACCACACCACCATCACCACCACCACTACACCACCACCACCAACAACAACACCCACCACCACCACTCACACCACTACCACCAACAACACCCACCACCACTACAACACTACCACCAACAACACCCACCACCACCACCACTACACCATTACCACCACCACTACACCACTACCACCAACAACACCCACTACCACCACCATACCACCAACAACACCTTCACTCCACCAACAACACCCACTACCACCACCACTACACCATTACCACCACCACTAGCACCAACAACACCCACTACCACCACCACTACACCATTACACCACCACTACACCACTACCACCAACAACACCCACTACCACCACCAACTCACCAACAACACCCACTACCACCACCACTACACCACTACCACCACACCACTACACCACTACCTCCAACAACACCCACTCCCACCACTACACCATTACCACCACCACTACACCACTACCACCAACAACACCCACCACCACCACCAACAACCCCACTACCACCACCAACAACACCCACTACCACCACCAACAACACCCACCACCACCACCAACCTCCCACTACCACCACCAACAACACCCACTACCACCACCAACAACACCCACCACCACCACCAACAACACCCACCACCACCAGAACACAAACACCACCACTCCACCACATCATCACTACACCACCACAAACACCACCACTTTTACCCACACATCACCCCTACACCACCACAACACCACCACTTTACCATTACATCATCACCACTACACCACCACAAACACCACCACTTTACCATTACATCATCACCACTACACCACCACAAACACCACCACTTTACCATTACATCATCACCACTACACCACCACAACACTACATCACCACACACACAAACACAGGGGCTACGTGACTAGTTTCCTGACCAGAGGATACAACTACACCCAGCTGTGTATATATTATCTGGGTCACTACCTCACTCCTCACCCCTCACCCTCCTCATTACTCACACTGTAATTATCTCATCCTCCTCACACCTCACCCTCCTCATTACCCACACTGTAATTATCTCATCCTCCCTCACACCTCACCCTCCTCATTACTCACACTGTAATTATCTCATCCTCCTCACCCTCACCCTCCCTCATTACCCACACTGTAATTATCTCATCCTCCTCACCCTCACCCTCCTCATTACCCACACTGTAATTATCTCATCCTCCTCACCCCTCACCCTCCTCATTACTCACACTGTAATTATCTCATCCTCCTCACCCCTCACCCCTCCTCATTACTCACACTGTAATTATCTCATCCTCTTCACCCCTCACCCACCTCATTACCTCACACTTTAATTATCTCATCCTCCTCACCCCTCACCCTCCTCATTACCCACACTGTAATTATCTCATCCTCCTCACACCTCACCCTCCCTCATTACCCACACTGTAATTATCTCATCCTCCTCACCCTCACCCTCCTCATTACCCACACTGTAATTATCTCATCCTCCCCACCCCCTCACCCACCCTCATTACTCACACTGTAATTATCTCATCCTCCCACCCCTCACCCTCCTCATTACCCACACTGTAGTTATCTCATCCTCCTCACCCCTCACCCTCCTCATTACCCACACTGTAATTATCTCATCCTCCTCACCCTCACACCTCCTCATTACCCACACTGTAATTATCTCATCCTCCTCACCCCTCACCCTCCTCATTACTCACACTGTAATTATCTCATCCTCCTCACCCCTCACCCACCATACCCACACTGTAATTATCTCATCCTCCTCACCCTCACCCTCCTCATTACTCACACTGTAATTATCTCATCCTCCCACACCTCACCCTCCTCATTACCCACACTGTAATTATCTCATCCTCCTCACACTCACCCTCCTCATTACTCTCTCCCTCATCCCCTCACATGCATAATTCCAAGACGAAGGTGTGTGTGTGTGTGTGTGTGTGTGTGTGTGTGTGTGTGTGTGTGTGTGTGTGTGTGTGTGTGTGTGTGTGTGTGTCCCCTCGCTTACGGCTATAGACAGGTGTACCAGTTATTGAAACACACACACACGTGACTTCCTGTACCTGGATTGTAGAGTATCACCCAAAGTTGTTGATTCTCCCAGCCAGCTATTACACTGCCTGCCCCAGATGTATGAAGCAGGCAATGCAGTAATAACTGACTGGGAGAGTTAACTCTTTGGGTGAGACTGTAGTTATATTTTGTGATTGTGAAGTTACATAACGAGAGAGAGAGAAGAGAGAGAGAGAGAGAGAGAGAGAGAGGGAGAATGTCCTGCTGACCCTGGACGACAGTACATTTCAACTCATCTTGGCCCCCACCACACACACACATACATCACCCCCCACCATACACACACATACATCACCCCCCCACACACACACACATACATCATGCGCACAT